CAGAAAGCCTACCTCCCACCGCCGACACCCTGTCCAAGTCGGCCGACGATGATAAGGGGAGACATGACGCGCTACCTTCGGCGCCGCGCATCGGCATCGTCAACGGTTCGACCTGCCGCATCTTCTGAGGATGGCGCACCTGGTATGCAGAAACCGGCGCATGGTATGCAGAAAACGGCAGGGGAGCAGTTGACAGGGGAGCAGATCAGCGGCAGCACGTCGAGCAACGTTGTGGAGGTCATCGGCGAAGTTGCAGGGGAGTCATCTAGAGACAGTTCTTCGAGCGACTTAGTGGAAATCAAGCCGCCGACACGGCATTCCACCCGCTCCAACTTTGGTGTGCCTCCAAAGAAATGGGCCGATGTGTGCCCGGTATTCGCTAACACACTTCTCGATGATGCAAATGCGGCTACCACGCTGCCAGAACTGGATCCCGATGTGCCCGCTAATCCTGAACGCCGGTGGGATATCGGAACGATGCAGTCAAGGAAGCGCTTGCGAGCTGGAAGGGAAGGCGGTGAAAGCGGTAATGGACGAGGAGATGCGTAGCATCCTCACCAACGGAACATGTGAGTTGGTGCCTCGACCGTGCTGCGTCAATGTCATGAAGAACCGGTAGGTTCTTACGACAAAGTACAACGCTGACGACACGGTCGCTCGCGAGAAGGCACGGCTCGTCGTAAAGGGATTTACGCAGATTTATGGCGCTGATTACAATGAGACGTATTCCCCGGTTGGCAGCTACGTCGCACTGCGCATTTTCCTCTCTATCGTCCCAGTACTCGATCTACACATCATACAAGGACATGAAAAACGCATACCTGCAGAGCAAACTGGACCGCGTTCTGTACATGGAGTAGCCATCGCACTACAACGACGGTACATCTCGCGTCTGCAAGCTTCTGAAAAGTTTGTACGGGCTCAAACAGAGCCCCCTGCTGTGGTATTCGGAACTCGACAACATACTCATTGGCGGCGGATGGAGCAAGAGCAAGAGTCAGGAGGACGAAGCGCTCTACTTCAAGTTCGGTGCTGATGGAGTCGGTTGCTGCCTGCTCGTCTACATTGACGACTTGCTCGCAGCAAGTAGCAGCCTCAAGATGCTGAAGGACCTCCGTGAGCTTCTGCAAAACACATTCGAGCTGCGGAAAATTACCCCCGTGCAGAAGTATTGGGGCTGGAGATTGTGCGCGACAGGTCTGCGCGAAAGCTGTGGCTGTACAAAGGCATAAGTGGACAAACTACGTCGCCGTTTTGTGGGCGAAGAGCAGACAGGTCGTCGCCCGAAAATGCCTATTTCGGTCGACGCGTACACCGAGCTAACATTTGATGACGGGGAGTATCAGGCTCGTGTAGAGGAAGAGCATCGCCAGAAAGTAGGTTCGCTCCAGTTTGCCGCAACCACGACCCGTCCCGACATCGCATACGCATGCAGCAAGTTGGGCTCGGGGTTGACGATTCGCAGTGACCAGCACTGGAGGGAGCTGGACCGCTGCATTGACAACGTGGTGGACACCCGCGATTTCGCCCTCAAGTTTGGTGTTGGACTGGATACTCTGCGCCTGGTGGGGTATGCGGATTCCGATGACGCGGGTGACCGACAGACGCGCAACAGTACTAGTGGATACGTTTTTGTGCTTGGCGGAGCTGCAGCTTCGTGGGCAAGTCAGAGGATTAAGTTGCCTGACGTTTCTCCTCAACGAGTCCGAGTACATTGCAGCAACGGAGGCCGGCAAGGAGGCACGCCGTTGCGCTTTCTTCTCCGCCGAATTTCGGCTTCTAGATGCTGGGGTGCCAGACCGTCATCCACGTGGACAACTCATCTGCGATTGCGATTGCGGAAGGGTTAGGGCTCAAGGGGAAGACTCAAGCACATAGAGAGGCGGCACATCTGGCTGTAGCAGATGGTGAAGCGCAACAAACTTGGTGCTTACGTACATCCCAACAAGCGAGCAGCCGCGGACTATCTCACGAAGGCATTGCATTCTCCGGCATTCAAGCGCTGCTCGTTGCCGTTGGGCAAGTCAATCTTGCAGAAGATGCGCGTGACAACGCTTAGGATTAGGGTGCCATGTCCTTCAACATCGCTGGTGCGGTGAGTATGCGTGTGCGGAAAACACGCGGACGAGTATCAGGATCGTCACCCTGTTGTACTGTATTATTTCCTTTCGTTTTGTGTGGTGTGATAACTCCTCAGTTGCCCAGGCACGAGCAGGGCAGGGGAGTGTTAAGGCGAAGCCCTGCACCGCGCTTGGTCTCGCGTGTAGCAGCCCTATGCGGAGTAGTGAGACTTCGCATACCGAATACCGGTTTTCACCTGTATTGCGGTATTTGCCATATACACTCCAATCTGTGCAATTCGCTATGCACAATCCGACATTGGACCAGGAAGGGACGACATTGCACAAACGCGTATGTGCAACTGTCGTGTTGCAAGAACCTGCGCAACTACTCCTGGGCAGGTAGAAATTCACCTGATGGTATTTTCACCTAGCGGTGCCAACCTGGAACCGCATACTAGAGTAGGTGCTTGCACGTTCTTCTTGAACAACATTCTTCATGTACAACGTATTCGTAGAACGTTTTTGCACACGTCACTATGCTTCTCTATAAGGTTCATGTTGTTTTTGTTGTAGTCAATCAATTAATGAAGTTATTTCTTTCCGTTACTGCATACAAGTTGGCATCAGTATTCGGTTTCCACAAGTCGGAATTCGGTTTACAAGTATCCGCTTTGCAACTCTGCGCCTAGGCTCTCCCACAATCGCCTATTTCCGCACATGTATCCCACTTGCTCACACAAGCGCCAGAAACCCGCTGGTGTAATATTGGACGGAACTGCGTTGGCGCCAAGTGCGGAGCTCTGACTCGCCGCGATCGAAGCCGCGATGGCTCAAATCGAGCGCGCAGACCTGCGCACCACGTTAGGGAACCTCCACGAAATACGACGGCGCACAGGGTCCGGTTTGTCCCTTCCCGTGTCGGTAGAGTCGCGTAGTCGTTCGGCTTTGTGACGATGACACGCCACCAAGTCCATGGCGGGTCCTCGCACAGTGATACGGCGTAGCGAATCTTCGCCGTATCCTCCGAGACGTAGTTGGCGTAAAAAAACACGTTCATCATGAACAACCACGCCTGAAACGGTTGGACCATCCCGTTGACTCGGGTCAAAACATGGCGGACGCTGCGGCTTCAGCGGCATCGTTGACGGTAGTGCCGAATCGTTGGTCGGATGCCGAAATCGTGGCGCGAGGCTGGTTCCTGGCCGCATTCGTCGCTTCGGGGTGTGTCGTGCCGTGGTCGTCGTCGTCTCCGTCATGGCGGACGGACGCCATCATTGGCTGCGCTCGCGGGTTTGCCCCAGACTTCCTTGTTGCGATGCCTGTGGTGCGGGTTGTCCCGGAGTGCCAGGTGCTTGTGACTGTACTTGTTGTGCTCGTGCGACGTCATTTTGCAGGGACGTGCGTTCCGTCGTCAGCGCCGCGATTTCTTCCGTGCTCTCATGCAGTTGGCGCAGCAATTCATTCAGGCGGTCCTGCGTAAGTATAGTGACGTCGATATGTTCAGCCATTGCGAAGGGGTGTCGGCTCAGATTAGTCTAGGCGCAGTCGTGGTTGCACGCGTTTATGAGAGAACGCGAGGACAGCGGCTCCTAGGTGCTAAGGGGCGTGAGTCCCTTCGAGTGAAAAATCAAAAGTTGATTTCATGGGGTGCGGAGATGCGCGGTCCGAAAGAAAGTGGCTCTGATAACCAAGTGTTACGGGTGCAATGGATCGAGGTAGCGAGGATTCCACTCAAGGTGTCAAATTACTACAAAATGTGAGAAGGCATGAGCGAACATTTGTATGCGAAACATGGAAACGGTAACGCGGTGCGTGCGAGCTAGCTAGTGCTAGGCTGGCATCGAAGCTCGGGCTAGTCCCGAAGCGTAGGCCGACATGGCCGGGCCAGCGGTGCATGGTTTGGTGAAACAGTTCGCGCGAAGTCGGCGAAGCCCCGTTAGCAGTAACGGGCGAACAACGGCTGCTGCTGTACGCTATGTTGGAGGTAAGGAATGTCAGAGAAAAATTCCTTACAATAATGGAGAGTCCATCAGAGTAGAACTTTGGTGTCAAAACGATTCTTGTGTGGAATGCTATGGCGGGGGAAGAGGCCGAGGAGGAGGGTCAAGACCAGGTACGCCCCAAGCCGAGGAGGTTCGCCTTACATACAAGCCCAAACTGTTTCGTTTTGCTTTGATAACAGCCTGGTAGGCTGTGGTGGTTACAGGTCAAATCTATTTGCCACCTGGCCTGTTCCTCCGCACGAGCCACCTGCGATTGCCTCACCCAATAGTCAGCCCCAACCTCTGGGAGCCCCCAAGTCGAAGCGCTCTAATCGTAGACCGTTCGATAGACGATATCATAACAGAGTTCATCTTAGGAGTTCATCTCTCGTGCCCTGAGTCTCACCTCACCAACCAAGCAGCAGCGCTCTCCAGCTGTGAATCTCGCCTTGTGACAGCAGCGCACCGCAACCTTTCATCACGTTGGAGAAGGTGGTGGTTGACTCGGTTCGGAACGGTTTAGAACGGGAAACAACAAAATGTATCGGTTTGGAGAGATGCCACCACAATCAGGTACCCACCACACACCAACAGCATGTCTCCTCTCCACAATCCCAAGAAGCATTTCGTCAGGAAATGTTTCGTCTTTCAAGGCTACGCTGTCAGGATAATTTCAAGGTCTAGAGTGCTTCAGGCCTGTATTGTGTGCCAGCATTGAATGTGACGAGCATATTTTATTCTTGTTTTGTTGGAGCCAGACGTTTTCCCAGGTCTGGGTTGCTAAGTTCCTTCGCGGATTTCTGACTGAATACTCCAGTGTTGAACTTTGGCGCCTGTGCACTTCTCGTATTTGGGTTCTCCATCCTCCGCTTTGTCAGACGCATATGTTGACATTTTCCTAGGGTTGACTACAGCTTTCTCTTCAAAGTTGAGTCAAAATGAACCGCGCCAAAGCCGGTCGCAAAAAGGCCGAAGGGGGTGCCAGATCGTTGATCCCCTGTATAGTCTTCCTCATTTCCGCTGCGTGCGTCATTTTGGTCATTTCGTACACCGGCGCAAACATCGCCACTAAAACATCCGCGCAGCCCGGCGCAAAGAACCCGCGCGGAGGCGGGGAAAGCGCGGACGTCATGGAGGAAGGCGGGGGGGAGGGTGATGACGCGGGGGAAATTTCGTTCGTAAAGGGTGGCGTAGGCGCGGCGCCATTCCTGCCGGATTTCGATCTGAGCCGTCCAGTGGAGCACGGGCCGAAGGGGAAGCGGTTGAGTAAAGAGGAGCAGGAGTACGTGAGCGCGGAGGCGGAATACCAGGTGAGAAATAATGTTTAGCCCGGAATAAAAAAATCGACATTTCGGGAAATGCATCAATATGAGACGGTCTGATCGGCAATGCGGAGGAGCAGGAGTGTGTGAGCGCGGAGGCGGAATACCAGGTGAGGAATCTGAAGTTATGTTGGATGTTGTTCTCGAAGCGTCGATCTGAGACAGCCCGATGACGGAAAGATGAATTCAGAGCAAGAGTAGGTGAGCGTGGAGGCGGAATATCAGACGAAAATCGCGACTCAATTCGTACGCGTCTAAATGCGCCGATTGGATACATTGTGAGGGAGATGGAGGAGGGGAAAATGTGAGCGCGGAGGCGGAACACCAGGCGAGAACTAGGAATAGTGCCAGTTACAGATTGCGATATCAATGTATATGTGTCAAAGTGTCACTGTCAGGTCAGGGTTATTTTCAGGGAGAAAGGAACTGTTCGGGTGGGAGAGTAAGAGGCGCTGGCGGTGGAAAGACGGAGCTTGATTTAGATGTCAGATATCAGTGTCTTGGGAGGAACGAATCTTGCAGGTGTTGCGTTGCGTGGCCTTATGTGTGTCAATGCTACATGCACCTTCACCTTATAGGTTATTGTTGTGACTTTTGAGTCGACTCAAAAGTCTTATGTGTGTCAATGCTACATGCACCTTTACCTTATAGGTTATTGTTGTGAATTTCATTGTCCGCTTCCACCAAACCCCCTTCCCCCCCCCCCCTCCCTCCCCCCAAACCCCCCTCCACTCCCCTATCTTCCTTTCTCCTCCGCCTCCTTCCCCAGATGCGTCTGGCGCGGCGGAACGAGCTGACAGGGGGCAAGCGCCCCGAGCCGCCGTTCCCGCGGTGGAAGCCGGGCAAGATCAAGGAGGTGTTCCTCACGCCCACCTACCCCTGCAAGCGCGCCGAGCGCCTGGGGGGCACGGGGGCGGACGGAGAAGGCGGAAAAGGTGAGGGGGGCGGACGAAGGGAGGGGCAAGGTGAAGGTGGTTGGTAGGTCTGATCTGAGTGTGATGGATGATGGTGAGAAGCAGCCCTGGGTGGGAAAGGCCTTGATGGGAAGCCGGGCAAGATCAAGGAGGTCTTCCTCACGCCCATCTACCCCTGCAAGCACGCCGAGCGCCTGGGGGGCACGGGGGCGGACGGCGAGGGGGAAAGGGGCAGATTTGGTGTTGATGGGGTAACTCTACTGGTGGAGAAGGCCAAATGGGACGAGTGAGAGATGAAATCTGCCCTTGAAATCTGTTTCCTTCTCCTTTTGCCCTTGACCCTTCCTCACTATCGCCTTCCTCCCCCTCCGCATCTTCTCTCAATTTCCAGTCTACCTCTAAATCCCCTCCCCCGGTCCCTGTCCCCATTACCCCGTTCCCGTCCTGCCCCACCCTGCCCCCAACGCTGTTCCCCCTCTCCCCTGTCTTTGTCCCCGCCCGCCCCCGCCCCTGTTTCCCCCACTGGCAGTGGGTGTGCAACATCCGGAAACTGAGAGGGGGAGGCAGGAGGCCTATCGTGTTCCCATGCCCTTATCCCGTCCCGCCCTGCCCCTGTCCCCATGCCCCGGTTCCCCCTCACCCGCCCCGGTTCCCCCTCACCCGCCCCGGTTCCCCCTCACCCGCCCCGGTTCCCCTCACCCGCCCCGGTTCCCCCTCCAACCCGCCCCGGTTCCCCCTCACCCGCCCCCGGTTCCCCCTCACCCGCCCCGGTTCCCCCTCACCCGCCCCGGTTCCCCCTCACCGCCCCGGTTCCCCCTTCACCCGCCACGGTTCCCCCACTCACCCGCCTCCGGTTCCCCCTCACCACGCCCCGGTTCCCCCTCACCCGCCCCGGTTCCCCCTCACCGCCCCGGTTCCCCTACACGCCCGGTTCCCCCTCACCCGCCCCGGTTCCCCCCTCACCCGCCCCGGTTCCCCCCTCACCCCGCCCCGTTCCCCCTCACCCGCCCCGTTCCCCCTCACCCGCCCCGGTTCCCCCTCACCCGCCCCGGTTCCCCCTCACCCGCCCCGGTTTCCCCCTCACCCGCCCCGGTTCCCCTCCACCCGCCCCGTTCCCCCTCAACCGCCCCGGTTCCCCCTCACCCCGCCCCGTTCCCCCTCACCCGCCCCGGTTCCCCTCACCCGCCCCGGTTCCCCCTCACCGCCCCGGTTCCCCCTCACCCGCCCCGGTTCCCCCCTCACCCGCCCCGGTTCCCCCTCACCCGCCCCGGTTCCCCCTCACCCGCCCCGGTTCCCCCTCACCCGCCCCGGTTCCCCCTCACCCGCCCCGGTTCCCCCTCACCCGCCCCGGTTCCCCCTCACCCGCCCCGGTTCCCCCTCACCCGCCCCGGTTCCCCCTCACCCGCCCCGGTTCCCCCTCACCCGCCCCGGTTCCCCCTCACCCGCCCCGGTTCCCCCTCACCCGCCCCGGTTCCCCCTCACCCGCCCCGGTTCCCCCTCACCCGCCCCGGTTCCCCCTCACCCGCCCCGGTCACCCGCCCCGGTTCCCCCTCACCCGCCCCGGTTCCCCCTCACCCGCCCCGGTTCCCCCTCACCCGCCCCGGTTCCCCCTCACCCGCCCCGGTTCCCCCTCACCCGCCCCGGTTCCCCCTCACCCGCCCCGGTTCCCCCTCACCCGCCCCGGTTCCCCTCACCCGCCCCGGTTCCCCCTCACCCGCCCCGGTTCCCCCTCACCCGCCCCGGTTCCCCCTCACCCGCCCCGGTTCCCCCTCACCCGCCCCGGTTCCCCCTCACCCGCCCCGGTTCCCCCTCACCCGCCCCGGTTCCCCCTCACCCGCCCCGGTTCCCCCTCACCCGCCCCGGTTCCCCCTCACCCGCCCCGGTTCCCCCTCACCCGCCCCGGTTCCCCCTCACCCGCCCCCGGTTCCCCCTCACCCGCCCCGGTTCCCCCTCACCCGCCCCGGTTCCCCCTCACCCGCCCCGGTTTCCCCCCACCCGCCCCCGGTTCCCCCTCACCCGCCCCGGTTCCCCCTCACCCGCCCCGGTTCCCCCTCACCCGCCCCGGTTCCCCCTCACCCGCCCCGGTTCCCCCTCACCCGCCCCGGTTTCCCCCTCACCCCCGCCCCGGGTTCCCCCTCACCCGCCCCGGTTCCCCCTCACCCGCCCCGGTTCCCCCTCACCCGCCCCGGTTCCCCCTCACCCGCCCCGGTTCCCCCTCACCCGCCCCGGTTCCCCCTCACCCGCCCCGGTTCCCCCTCACCCCGCCCCGGTTCCCCCTCACCCGCCCCCGGTTCCCCCTCACCCGCCCGGTTCCCCCTCACCCGCCCCGGTTCCCCCTCACCCGCCCCGGTTCCCCCTCACCCGCCCCCGGTTCCCCCTCACCCGCCCCGGGTTCCCCCTCACCCGCCCCGGTTTCCCCCTCACCCGCCCCGGTTCCCCCTCACCCGCCCCGGTTCCCCCTCACCCGCCCCCGGTTCCCCCTCACCCGCCCCGGTTCCCCCTCACCCGCCCCGGTTCCCCCTCACCGCCCGGTTCCCCCTCACCCGCCCCGGTTCCCCCTCACCCGCCCCGGTTCCCCTCACCCGCCCCGGTTCCCCCTCACCCGCCCCGGTTCCCCTCGACCCTCCCGTTCCCCCTCACCCGCCCCGGTTCCCCCTCACCCGCCCCGGTTCCCCTCACCCGCCCCTGTTCCCCCTCACCCGCCCCGGTTCCCCCTCACCCGCCCCGGTTCCCCCTCCACCCGCCCCGGTTCCCCCTCACCCGCCCCTGTTCCCCCTCACCCGCCCCTGTTCCCCCTCACCCGCCCCTGTTCCCCCTCACCCGCCCCTGTTCCCCCTCACCGCCCCTGTTCCCCCTCACCCGCCCCTGTTCCCCCTCACCCGCCCCTGTTCCCCCTCACCCGCCCCTGTTCCCCCTCACCCGCCCCTGTTCCCCCTCACCCCGCCCCTGTTCCCCCTCACCCGCCCCTGTTCCCCCTCACCCGCCCCTGTTCCCCCTCACCCGCCCCTGTTCCCCCCTCACCCGCCCCTGTTCCCCCTCACCCGCCCCTGTTCCCCCTCACCCGCCCCTGTTCCCCCTCACCCGCCCCTGTTCCCCCTCACCCGCCCCTGTTCCCCCTCACCCGCCCCTGTTCCCCCTCACCCGCCCGGTTCCCCCTCACCCGCCCCGGTTCCCCCTCACCCGCCCCGGTTCCCCCTCACCCGCCCCGGTTCCCCCTCACCCGCCCCGGTTCCCCCTCACCCGCCCCGGTTCCCCCTCACCCGCCCCGGTTCCCCCTCACCCGCCCCGGTTCCCCCTCACCCGCCCCGGTTCCCCCTCACCCGCCCCCGGTTTCCCCCTCACCCGCCCCGGTTCCCCCTCACCCGCCCCGGTTCCCCCTCACCCGCCCCGGTTCCCCCTCACCCGCCCCGGTTCCCCCTCACCCGCCCCGGTTCCCCCTCACCCGCCCCTGTTCCCCCTCACCCGCCCCGGTTCCCCCTCACCCGCCCCGGTTCCCCCTCACCCGCCCCTGTTCCCCCTCACCCGCCCCTGTTCCCCCTCACCCGCCCCTGTTCCCCCTCACCCGCCCCTGTTCCCCCTCACCCGCCCCTGTTCCCCCTCACCCGCCCCTGTTCCCCCTCACCCGCCCCTGTTCCCCCTCACCCGCCCCTGTTCCCCCTCACCCGCCCCTGTTCCCCCTCACCCGCCCCTGTTCCCCCTCACCCGCCCCTGTTCCCCCTCACCCGCCCCTGTTCCCCCTCACCCGCCCCTGTTCCCCCTCACCCGCCCCTGTTCCCCCTCACCCGCCCCTGTTTCCCCCACGGGCAGTGGGTGTGCAACATCCGGAAACTGAGAGGAGGGGGCAGGAGGCCTATCGTGTACAGGTGAGGTGATTGAAGGGGGTGGGGGTACTGAAGGGGGTGGGGAGCGGAGAAGGTGTGTGGGGGGGGTGTGTGGGTAAAGAGCGAAGGGAGAGTGGAGGGAGAGACAGTGGGCGTGTGACATCTCGAAACTGAGAGGGGCAGGGAAGAGGGAAAGGTGTGGGTAAAGGTTAGGGGAAATTAGGAAGGTGAGGGAGGTGGGGTGGGGAAAAGGTTGGGGGGGTGGTGATGGGAAAACCGAGGGGAGTGGGGATTGGTGGGGAAGAATAAGAGGTGGAAGAACCGTGTGAGGGAGGGGGAAATCAAAGAAAGAAGGAACAGGAAGCGGAAAAAGACCCTTTAGATAGATTTGAGTTTACTCAAAACTAGACCCTTTAGATAGATTTGAGTTTACTCAAAACTAGACCCTTTAGATAGATTTGAGTTTACTCAAAACTAGACCCTTTAGATAGACCTTTTCCATCTCGTTTCCCTCTTCTCCCTCCCCTTTCTCCCTTCCTTGCAGTGTGGGCAGTGCAGGGGAAACCTCCTTCGAGCAGGCTGTGAGGGAGCGGCTGCGCACCAAGGCGTTCACCTTCGACCCGTTTCTGGACGACCAGCAGGCAGCAGCGCTGCGAGCCAAGCACCTGCTGCGGTACATCCCCATCGGCCTTGGTGCGGGCAAGCAGCTCTCTGCTTTACGGCGGGGGGCGCCGGGGAAGCGGTTTGCCACGCTGGCCCAGCTGATGGGGAAGCTCAACCACTCGCATATTGACGTTCTCAAGGTGAGTTTGTGTGCTCAAACGTCTTATAACGAGGACACGAATTGATGGTTCAAATGGAGGGAGGGTGTGTATTGGCATGGCTTACATGAGGCCAAGCACCTCCTGCTCTACATCCCCATCGGCCTGGGCGCGGGCAAGCAGCTCTCTGCTCTCCGGAGAGGGGCGCCGGGAAAGCGGTTTGCCACGCTGGCTCAGCTGATGGGGAAGCTCAATCACTCTCACATCGACGTGCTGAAGGTGTGTATTGTCTCACGTCACGTCTTATATGAGCCCAAGCACCTGCTGCGGTACATCCCCATCAGGCTGGGCGCGGGGAAGCAGCTGTCGGCGCTCAGGAGAGGGGTGCCAGGGAAGAGTTTTGCCACGCTGGCCCAGCTGATGGGGAAACTGAACCACTCTCACATGGTGCGCCGCAGGATATAGCACCCCAAGCACCTCCTGTGGTACATCCCCTTCGGGCTGCCCTACTTGCCATCCCCCCTCAGCATGTGCCTTGCTCTGTGTCAGTGTCACCCCTTTCTCTCCCCATTTCGCTCCTTTGTCTCAGATCGACTGTGAGCATTGTGAGGAGCGGCTCAGGGAATATCTGCACACCCCCCCCCCATTCCATCAGCCCTTCCCTTGCAACACGTGACTTTCTCTGTCACTGTCCATTCTCTCACCCCCCCATCCCCCCTCCTTTCCCCCTTTTCCCCTCAGATTGACTGTGAGCGCTGTGAGGAGCGGCTCATGGAGGATCTGCTCAACACGTTTGGCAAGGAGAATCCACCAGCAGAGCAAATCCTAGTGGAGATTCACCAGTGAGTCACTCGTTACCATGTATTACCATGCAGTTACTGCAGCTCGAGAACTCAAATTGATGAATGGTACTAATGTAATATTCCATATGGATACACAAACACACATGTGATCTGCAATATCCTGCTGTGTTCCCTTGTTGGTTACAGAAGCACGAGTTTACTCATGCTCTATACCCCCTGTCCCCCACACCCTTCCACGCCCAATCAGGATTCGCCACGTGGCCAGGACCACGCAAGTCCTCTTCCCATTGGAGGACATGGGTTACCGCCTCTTCAATGCAGAGGCCAACCCACGCTGTAACAGCTGCTACGAACTCTCATTTGTTCATGAAAACTTCTTAAAGCCCAAATCCATGTTTCCGACTCCTGAGGCTCCTGCTACTGCCGGTGATGCTGCTGGTGCCGGGGATGCTGCTGGTGCCGGGGATGCTGCTGCTGATACTGCGGCTGATACTGCTGAAGCTGCTGCTGATGCGGCTGCTGACGCTGTTGCTGCTGCCGCTGCGGATTCAACTGCAGAAGATCCTGCAAGTAATGCCAACCCTGGTGGCGATGCAGGGGGTGAAAGCCAATAACTGTTTAGGTCCAATTGATTTGGCGTTTCATTGGCTGTAGTGACAAAGAGTAGCAGGTAAAGTTGCAGTTTCAGGAACCAAGGCTGTAGTGACAAAGAGTAGCAGGTAAAGTTGCAGTATCAGGAACCAATAACAGAACACAGGCTTACAGGTTTCCAGAGTTAGTGACATGCAGTATCAGTAAGCAGTTATTTTGTGTCATTGCACAAAACTGTTGGTGCCAACACCAAGTACACTAGTTGGTGTATGACACAGCTCATCCGCGGATGAGGAGGATGGTGAAGAGCACCCGTATGAATCCTCTAGCGAGGAAGCCAAAAGCGATTCCTTGCTTTCTTCACAGTTGCGAGTGCCCCCAATACTGCCGAGTCTCGGGACTTCAAAACAGACAGCTCTTTTTGTGCTTCCCTTTGCTGACAGAACCCATGGATGCGACAGAACTCCATCAATGCTCAGTCTCTTCGTCGGGTCGACCTCCATCATCCGACGGACGAGATCTTTCAAGCCGCTCGACACGGACGGCCAAGGACTGACGGCGAAATCGACCGGCAGCAATTCCCTGCGTTCGTTAGGAAACGCGGGCCAGTCGGCGCATACCATCATGTACAGAACCACACCGAGAGACCAGACGTCGGCTTTAAGATCGTGTCCCTGACACGCAAGCACCTCGGGCGCCTCGTACGGATATCTCCCGACCACGTTTCTCAATTCCTTGCCGTTGCGAATCTCCTGAGCCAATCCAAAGTCTCCGATTCGAACCTCAATATCTTCAAGCCCGCAATTGGACTGAAGGTGTTTATCTTCCGCCTCGGAGGGAGTTGTACGAGAAGTGGAGATTGCAGTAGCTTGTTGATGCTGGGTTGTCAGCGCAGATATCGGTACAGATTTTAGGGCCTTGGATGACGTCAGCAGGATGTTTTCGGGCTTGATGTCGCGATGAGCCACGTCGAAGTGGTGGCACCAACGAAGCCCTCTAGCAATCTGAAGAAATATGTGCCTCGCGATCAGTTCATCCAGGCCGTTGGTTTCCGCGATGAGATCGAACAGGTCCCCCACTCGTGCAGAGATCCGTCATCAAGTAAAACGCATCGTCGTCTTCGTATGCTTCGCGAAGAGAAAGAACATTCTTGTGGCCCGATAGTAGACTCATTGTAGTCACTTCGTTGTAAACTCCTTCCATTTGGAAGGAGGAAAGCCCTGACTTGAGAATCACCTTGCACGCATGAAGACTTCCTGATGTTCGGTCGACGCATCGCCAAACCCTTCCAGAATTACCCTCACCAATTATGTCAGAAAATGTGAAACGCTTTCGCATCTCGCCAGCAGACGGCAGGAAATGCTCCATTTTTCAGGCGTCGCGCTGGATTTGCAAGAAGTTGTCAGAGAAAGAAGACGAGGGGTTGTGCAAGGGAACTGATTAGGGAAAGTAACGCAAAGGTGCTTGCAATTACCGCGCCCATTCACGAAATCAGCTGCTGTTATATAGGAAGTTTGAAATGAGCGGAAGAGCCGAGTTTCCTGGCGGAAGAATCATCGAATCGTCAGATCCCATGGCTGTCATATCATGAGAGAAATGAGAGGCACACTGGGACCAACGCTTGGAGCGTTGTTTCTGACTGTTGCCCTTTGCAGTGAGCAAGCAAGCATTCTTTCCTTTAAAGCGACGGTGCACATTTGCCACCCAAAACCCAGAACCCTGGCGAACTGTTACTGCGGATGGAAAGTGTCCGCACGAAATCCTGGTTTTCGCCAGCCAGCACTTTCGCGCTGGCAAGCCTGGTTCAAAAAAAAAACTTCTGAACCCAACACTGCCAAAAGTTGCCCGTCGCATGTGCATCAAAGGTTATCCCTTGACTGAGTGGGTTACGAGGTGTGCTTTCAACCCCTTCAAGTCGAAATTCGTTTCCCCCCTCCCCCGCAATTTCGTTTCCCCACGCCCCCGCAATTTCATTTCCCCCTCCCCGTCGAAATTCGTTTCCCCCCTCCCCCGCAATTTTGTTTCCCCCCTCCCCCGCAATTTCGTTTCCCCCCCCTCCCGCCAATCTGTTTCATCCCTCCCGCCATTCGGTTTCACCCACTCCCGCCATTTCACCCCCTCCCGCCACCTACGAAATGCCCGAAGCTCTAGCGGAATCATTTTTTTGTCGCCCCTCGTGAGCCAATCACTGTTTTTCTCCAAACCCCCTTCCCAACATCTCAAGCCGAACCGCGTTGAATGTGCACCCTGGTTTTAAAGCGACGGTGCACATTTGCCACCCAAAACCCAGAACCCTGGCGAACTGTTACTGCGGATGGAAAGTGTCCGCACGAAATCCTGGTTTTCGCCAGCCAGCACTTTCGCGCTGGCAAGCCTGGTTCAAAAAAAAAACTTCTGAACCCAACACTGCCAAAAGTTGCCCGTGGCTTTAAGCTTTTGATCTGGCGGCCAGCTTGCATACATGATCCGATTGCAGGTAAAGATTGCCCTCACATGTCCCATCGAAAACGGTAGTTTCCCCTCATCACCCCACCCAACCGTTCTAGATGGTTATCTGAACCCTGTTTACCGAGCTTCACCCGAAGGAGCTTTTGGGATGCCCACCTGAGGTTGCTGAAGGGGGACTGAGGAGACAGTGGATCAAGGCAGGAGGCGGAGTGGTGTGGCCGTGGTAGGCGAATTCGACATTTTGCATATCTTTTTGCGGTCTGCTGCGAAAGGACTTCGGTTCGGTTGATAAGACTTTTTGTTTTGCCCCACTGCACCACAGTGGTCGAAAGACTGCAGCATGCGATATCGCGGCCACGATTCGAAAAAGGGCAGGAAACAGAATGTATGTCACACATTCTCCAATCGCCTTGCTGGAAAACATGTACACTACAGACAGGAACTCCTGTGTCTATCGTTGGATTGTGTTTGTTGTAAGTTGTAACGGATTGGTTCTGGTTCTCGATTCAAACGCCACCAGCAGCATGTCAGGGCTTGGACAGCTTGTCCAACGTCTTTCCCACCATGCTGAGTTTTTATGGAGACTTTTGTTCTGTGCCTTTCTGCAGCCCATGGCATCCACTCTGGCAGCAAGAAATGTCGCTAATGATCCTGAGCTGGATTCTCACTCTGCGGTTTTGGACATTGGTTCTGTGTCCTCAGCTCACTTGCATTATCCTGTGTCGGTTCGCTTGTCAATAATGGAAGATAGTACAAACGACGCATGCATTGTAGGTGTCAGAAGAAATGGCAGGAGTAGCACCAATGAACTGTTGGTGCTTTATTCTTGCCTTCAATATAAAGCTCCCCTTATTCAAGCGTCTCCTGTCTGCGCTATCCATGGGTTATAACGAGGTTTCAAGCAGATGTGCGCAGGGCTCCCCTAATTTTGTCCAAAACCGCAGCACGGTCTCCACCGTTGTTGGAACCTTCTCCCTCATCCTCCACGTCAGACTTGCCCAGATCCAGAAACTGTTCATCGGGCTCTTCGGGAGCGGGTTGCTCCCTGCCGAAAACGGCGAATTTGCAGTCCGCGCGGAGAATGTCGGACACCTGGTAGTCTCCTTAGGGAAACCTTGAATCTTACTGTTCCAAACCGAATTCGATCCCTCTGTCTGCCTGGATTCCTCGGATCCTTGCTGCTGCTGCTTCTGATCCGAGGTCGAGTTCTCGTCTGCGGCCTTTTCAGCGCGAACGGTGTCCGTCAAAAGAGCGGATATCACCGAGTAGTCTAGGTTAGTCCCCTCCTCCATAGCCTCATCGCGATACATTTGTCCTAGGACGCCATGCACGTCCATGGAATAGTGCACCTGCTCCAGCTCGAGGTTAAGATGAACCATCGCGTCGCCGTCGCGCTGCAGCAGCGGGTGCGCGGCGCGCACGCGGATCTCCGCTTCCAGAAGGCCCTCGATGCGTATCGTGTACTTGTCCACATCAGCACTGCCCGGGCCCGACTTCTCGTGCGCGTCCATGGTGACCGTGGCCTGGCCGTCGAAGAGCGATAGCTCGTCGCCTAGCTGCTTGGGGGAAACAGAGAGAAAGAGGGGATGAGAGCGGATGAGAGAACCATTAGAGAGTGTGTGGTGAGATTCAGGGTTTGTTATTTCATCGGTACGTAGGAATCAGTAATTCAAACGGAAACTCACCATGAGCCTGGGAACAAGTGTCCCGTCAACTTCAAGGGCGGCCAAATAGCCCTCCCCTCGCGCCTCTTGCGGTCCGCGGCGCGACACAAATCGCATTGTGTGCACTGGCCTGTCCTTGCGCCCCTTCCCTGTGCTCTCCTCGCCTGCGACCGGTGCTTGCCACACGAACCCGAGCTCGCGGATCCAGACACGGGGCGTGGGCTGGTTGGCGGGGTTGGCGAGCGTGGTGCGGCGGTCGAGGTAGCCGCCGAGGCGCATGTTGATGTGAAGCTCGGGATCAGAGAAGAGGGAAAAGGAGCGCTCCGGGAGGGAGGTTTGCAGAGAGGAGGAGATGGCTGGTAAGTTCTTCTCCTTCCTGGGGGCATCGCCGTTGCACCGACCACCGACGCTGCAATGAAAGCACAGAAAAGAAGATATACATTAGTACCATTGCGGCAGTGCATCATGCAATGAAGCCGCGAAGACGGAGCAAGAGGGAAGAGTAAACAGTTGCAAGAGTTGGAAGGATAGCCGAGATACGGGTAACGTACTATGAGTTCGGGTCCTTAGGCGTGTAGACAGTCCTCTTGATCTCGGCCGAGTTGTCGCTGCTGCACAGGCTTGCAGTGTAGAGGTAACACAACCCACTTTCAACGAAGTAGTTCCAGTAACTGCAGTTCGCCTGTTCTCGGCACTTGTTGCAGCAATCGGCTGGTTGAGCCGCCTTTCCAAGCCTCAGCCCGCCTCGAGCTGCAGGCAACTGAAATTTCTTGGACGAGGAAATATTGAACTTTCCGCGGAAAACATAACGCCCGCAGGTTCCAGCGCTGCAGGCTGCTTGAGGCTCCGCGAACGACGGACAGCTTGCTGCGGACGACGTTCTTACGGAAAAAATGAAGGTAGTCAAAAGAGCCGCGATCAAAACCGAGGTCCGGACAGTGCTAGCAGTGAGTGCCATTTTGTTCCAACGAAAACGATTTATGGCAGGCGTTATTCGCTCGATATAGGCCTTGAAGGATGAACTCGCCGTCACTAATGCGCGTAAGTTGCAAATGCTGGGCTCGCCCTTACGATTTATCTGCTGCTAAACAGATAGGTGTTGGGTCAAACAGTCAGCAGCACAATATGAGGATGAGCCTAACGTTCAAGCTTGAGCAATGGGCATTGGGCATGGCATGTGCTTGACTGCTGGGCGGTCGTTGGTTTGCGATTTGCAATTCGCGCGGCTCGTCCTCCTGCGCTGCGAGCAGTGAAGTGAACAAGCACTGGAGGCGCATCCAATTTGTGAAATTCCCAACCGAAATTTGGGAATGGAATTGCGCTGGCACGCGCAGCGAATATTTGAAATCTTGCCATGACGAAAATTCGCAGTAAGCGTTGACGAATAGAAAATTATCCGCGCGAAATCGATTCTGTTTGTGCAGCATCGATATAGTGTAAGGAAATTTCCTTTTCCTTACTTCGCATTCCCTGCTCAACGCGTACATCACTGTAGCACCACAGTCAGCACCGTTACCACTCGCAACCCTCGCATCGACAATCCGCCCGCCACCTTCGCACGTCGCACCCCGACCTCACGGCTCGGCGGGTAACCCGCGCTCGGGGCCTCCGCTTCGACACTTTTCCCAACCTCAGTCCCAGGCCCGTCGCGCGACAACCACAGTCCATTACCGTTACCACTGTAGTTTCGCTATATATTCTTCGCTCATGCCTTCGCTCATTGTACTCTTGCTTCGATAGTGCAATTCTCGTTCGTTCGCTCAATTGCACTCGTAACACTTGGTATTCAGAGCCTACGATCTCTTCTCGGACCGCACCCACACCTTCGCTTCCCCACTATCTCAATTTTTGGGGGGGGTAGACGTCTCTCAGCGACACAGCACCGCCGCTCGTAGTGCTCTCTCGTAAGCACGCACGGCCACGACCGAGGCTCTCGCTGAGCTCGCCCGACACCCCCGCCATGGCCGAATTCACACTCGCCGCATTGACGCAGGAGCAGCTCGACCGTCTGGTGCGCCAACTTGAAGATTCGACGCTCGAAATTGCGACGCTCACGGCGGAACGTGACTCCGCGCGTCAGCAATCAACGATGAACACTCCTGCGCCACCACACGGACCGACAAATGCATGTGCACAATCGGACGAGCCGATCGTCATCTCATCCGGCACACCAACACAAAACACCAGCGTGGGACAACGCTCAGGCGCAGCCAGCGATGGCGTCGCCCAACCGATGCCTGGCATGGGAGGAAACAGGGTCGCACCAAGCCCGCGGGAGCCTCGCGAAGCCCGTCGGCACGTGGAGTTCGCGGCGACAAGTGGCGAACAAGCCATTATGGCACCAATACCACTCAAGCCGCAACGCCCGCCCTGCTTCGACCCGAGCCAGCGTGGAGGTCCGACGGTTCAATCGTGGGTCTTCACGATGAACGTCTTCTTCGACGCGAATTACGTCGAGTCGGACGCAGCGAAGATTCGGTATGCCGTTTCGCTGCTAAGGGGCCCCGCCATGGACTGGTGGCGAGTCATTGTGACGTCGCCACGCGCCTACGAGCCACCGTCGCAAGAGGAAGGGCCCACGGGCCCAGCTGTTACCTGAAGTTCATTCTGCGAGACCGCCCAATACAGCACGTGTGATGCGTGGTGCGCAGGGCTTCGGGCGCGCTTCGAGCCGATCGCGGCTTCTATTTCGGCGCGTCAGAGATTGCGCACTTGGCAGCAACTCGGATCGGTTCAAGACTATACGAGTGGTTTTCTCGCATTATGCGAACAAGTCGGCTACATGCACGAAGCGGAACGGGTGGACCGTTACGTCGGAGGGCTAAAGCCGGACATCTCGCACAAAATCATGCTACGCGGGCTCTCGAACTTCAACGAGATTCTCGCGCTCGCCGAGAAAATCGACATTTTACGCCGTCCGAGACCGGGGTCCTACTATGGACATCGTCCTCGGGGACCGATCGAGCACGCCACTGTACACGCTGTTGCGACGAATGCAGCTGCCACGCCGTTTAAGGGGCGCTGCTTTGCTTGCAACAGGCCGGGCCATCGCAAGAGCGAATGCCCAGAGGAGCTAAGGCGTCGCGGAGCAGAGCAGGGGAGGGAGTCTCCAAGGCAGGGAAACGCCAGCAGTCAGTAGGAATCGGGCCAACTACTGACGAGACTGCCTGCTCGCCCAACCCCACCGACCCTCACCGAGTCACAGTACCGATTCATGCCATCGATCGGACTCGGACGAATAAGGAGGGTACAGCGACGGATTGCCCAGTACTGATCCACGGGAAAATACAGGGAGCAGCAGTGAAGATTTTTATCGACGGAGGAGCAAGCCACAGTTTAGTTAATACCGCAACCGCACGAAAACTGCAGCTGACACTTAGCCGTTGCTTACCGGAGATAGACGCACGCTTAGTCGACGGCACGCCACTGGCCATACGGGAAAAGGTAGAGAGAGTCAAAGTCCGCTGCGGGGGAAATTTCGGGTTTACACAGGAAATGCTCGCAACGACACTGGATGGGCACGATATTTTACTGGGACATGATTGGCTGCGACGGTATAACCCGCGAATCGACTGGACGACGGGTAGCTGCACCGTGCGAAGTAGTGGTAACTGGGTCGAGCTAACTCGCTGGCAGTCGCCCGAGTCTTCAACGGTACACATCAACGCCATCACAATGAAACGGGCAGTCGCTGCTGGAGCTGACGTGTACGCAGTAGACATCGCAGTAGTAGAGGAAGCAGAGCAGCCGAGTGATTTTAAGAAACTGCTGGCAGCCGTACCGCCCGAACTACAGGAACTGTTGAAACGATACCAGAAGGACTGCCACCTCAGCGAGCACATGACCACCGAATCGAATTAGAACCGGGGGCACAGCCAACCGTACAGCGCCAGTTCAGACTGACACAGCCCGAGCTCGACGAACTAAGGAAGCAGTTAGATTACCTGTTAGAGAAAAAATTCATCCGACCGAGCTCGTCACCGTTCGCCGCACCGATACTGTTCACGCCGCAAAAAGACGGGGGGTTTCGCATGTGTATCGACTACAGAGCACTAAACAGGGTAACATTCAAGTCGCGGTACCCCATCCCCCGCGCCGACAAACTTATCGACCAACTGCGAACAGCACGGGTTTTTTCGAAAATAGATTTACGGGGAGGTTACCATCAGATTAGGGTCGAACCATCAGACTGCGCCAAAACAGCCTTCAGGACTAGGTACGGGTCGTTCGAGTACACTGTGATGCCATTCGGGCTGACCAACGCACCGGCGACTTTTCAGATGACCATGAACGAGGCGTTTAGGCCGCTCTTAGATAAATGTGTGATAGTTTACCTCGACGACATCCTGGTTTACAGTCGGGATAAGCAGCAGCACTTAGCAGATCTGGAAGCAGTGTTTAAGGTTTTAGACGAGCATCGATTACTGACCAAGGGTTCCAAGTGCGAGTTCTTCCAGGATATGTTAGAATTTTTTGGGCACGTTATTTCAAAGGCTGGAGTTGAAATCGACCCAAAGAAGCTGGATACGGTAAAAGCGTGGAATCCCCCGACGAACATCACGGAGCTGCAGAGTTTTTTAGGGTTCGTTGATTACGTGCGTCGGTTCGTCCACGATATGGCACGGTTAACTGCCCCACTGACGGACTTACTGCGGAAAGGGGTCGCTTTTACGTGGGGGGAGAAAGAGCATGCTGCCTTCTCTGCCCTGAAAAATGTTCTCTGTTCACCACCCGTCCTGCGCATCGCCGACCCACACCGCCCATTCGAAGTAGTTACCGACGCAAGTGACATCGCCATCGGAGCCGTACTGTTACAGGACTTCGGCAACGGCCTACAGCCCATCGCATACGAGTTACGAAAACTGCATCCGCCCGAGAAAAATTACCCGATACACGACCGCGAAATGCTTGCGATCGTGCACGCGTTTAAAGTGTGGCGCTGTTACTTGACCGGCGCAGACGTGACAGTACGGACAGACCATAAATCACTACAGTACCTCCGCGCACAGCCACACCTCAACCCACGACAGATTCGCTGGCTCAATTTTCTCGAGTCCAATTTTCACTACACGGTCACCTACAAAAAGGGAGCCGCGAACATCGCCAACGCACTAACCCGCCCCACTGCCCAGATCCATGCAATACTACTCGCCCAGACCAGCCCCCTACTGACAGGCCTATTTAACCACGGGTACCAAACGGATCCATTCTTCACAGGAGGAAATTCGCAGCAGTTCGCAGCAGCAAGGGGAGTCTATTACGTAAAAGCCGGGACCGAC